GAGGTTGAGTAACATTTCCAAAGTCACGCAGGTAAATCGGGATTTAAACCCAGGTAGTCTGCTGTGAGAGGCCCTGTATTAAAGACAACACTTAGCAAATAAATGATCAATAGATGTATCACAATGATAAGAAAGTTGGTTTGGAAGCGGTAGGTCCTCCATGTTATCGATTTCCCTCCCCTTGCCTGGAGGCTTGGCTTGGGAGGAATTGATTCAGCACTTCATAGAGTCAGGCTGCCATCCTCTGCACTTAGCCCTACTTAGACAGCTCCATCCCCACCCAAGTCAGCAAGTTTTCTTTCTCTGTCTCACCTCTTTTATGGCCACTTGGGTGCTCTGGGCATCAGAGGCTAAGATGGATGGAGGAAGACTGCGCTTGGGGGTACAGTGAATCCCCACCTCAGTCCCCATTTTAGAAAAGGCCCCAGACAAATTGCTGAGAGATCCTTTGGCTTGCCTAATTTGGGACATATTTTCTGAGGCTCTCTTTACCTATTCCCTAATGCTTTAAAAGTGCCAAAGGAGGGACCAGCTGGTGGTATGGCGTTAAAGGTGTTAGACTCCCATATGGCTGACTGTGGTTGGAGTCTTGCACCCGGAGGCTTGAAAACCACACTGTGTGTGTGTGCACTTGTGCCCAAAATCCCAAGAAGAAAATGGAGGAGAGGGGCTTGTGGTGTGGCCATCTCCTCTGGGGGGTGATTTCTCCCTTTCCCTCTCTCCAGCTCTCTCCCGTGAGCATACTGCCCTATGGCAAAAACCTAAAAAAAAAAAAAAAAAAAAAAAAAAAGAACAAACAAACAAACAAAAAAGAAACCTAAAAAAAAAAAAACAAAGAAAAAAAAAAGTGCCTGAGCAACGTAAAATATTTTTGTTTAGTTTTAACAGTTTGCTCAGTTTTTCTTCAGAGTAAAATTTGCAGCTGGGATGTTTAATTTACAATATAACAGCTGTGTTTCTGTCCTTTCATTTTTGCTTTGCTAGGACAATCAAAAGCCTATTCCTTTTCAGTTCAGGGTCTCACTCATTGTTCTTGAAAATTCTGCTCAGTTTTGCCTTCAAGATGGCCTCGCTTACTGGGCATGACTCACCAGTCTGGTGACTCAGAAAATGGCATCTAAGAAGACAAGGATGTGCAGAATCACGAAGGGACTTCGTGGCCAATGGAGACGCCTGAAGCATTCCCTGGACCCAGTTACTGAGACAGTGTCATTCTGATTAGTGGTTGTTTGCAGTGGTTCTTGGTACCAGTGTAAAGCTCGGGTCTGACAGAGACAAGACGGTCATTGTCGTAGAAAGCTCCAACGTGGAATCTGTCCTTGCCCCTCCCCTGAATTTAACCTGAGGTTTGCTGTGGAGCAGGGAAGATTTCTGAGAGTTCCTCCTGTCCTGCTCTGAACCACATTCACATAACAAATCAGGAAGTCTGAGGCTTCTGTAGCTATCCTGTCAGTCAGGAAAGTAAAGGCTCTTTTTATTTGTTGAAGTCTTCAAACTGGTTTTAGCTTGATTTTTTAAAAAATTATTTTTATTTAATTTTACTTATAATCTTTAAATATTTTTATTTTTAAGAATTATTTTATTTGACTTCATTTATTATCATTATTATTTTCCATTTTGATCAGAGAGAGACAGAGAGAGAGAGAGAAAGTGAGAAAGCAAGCCACCAGGTCTGGTACTTGAACCACAGTCAGCCATGTGGGAGTCCAGCGCCTTTATCCACCATGCCACCTGCTGGCCCTATTATTATCATTTTTAAAATTTGACCAGAGAGAGAGAGAGGTGGGGGGCAGGAAGTGAGAAACTTGAACTGCGGTCGACCATGTGGGATTCCAGCACACTAACTATCATACCACCTGCCGGACCCCCTCAACTTAATTTTTAAGAAAAAAATTACCAATTAAAGGTAGATAGAGAGATGGGCAAATTTGATGAAGCAAATACACAGAATGTACTTGGCTAGGGGCTTCACTGTGCAGTTCTTCCAATGTTTTTGTATGTTTGAAACTGTTCAAAATACAGTGCATGGTAAAATGCAGATACTCCTAGAATTGATCATGCTTTTGAAAAAGTAATTTCTTTTTCCTATAAACGGCAACTTTCCTTCCCTTCTACTTCCCGACTACTCCTAGCCTTAGTTCCCCCTGCCCACCCTATCCCGTGAGCCTGCTTGATTTAAAAGGGCCTGAAGTGAAGCTTGTTGGTCGTAGCTACTCTTTTATACCAGGGAGTTTATATATATTTTTTCCGATGCGTAATTCTCCCAATAACCCTACCAACTAGTTATTATTTTCTGTGTTTTATGAGGAAACTGAGGCTCTGAGAGGTAAACTTGACCCAGGTCACAAAGTACTAATTTTCATCTTACAGCGTTTATGGAGCCCTTACTTTATGTGTCAGGCTTGGTGTCATGCACCTCATACTTTAACTCATTGTGTGTCAGGCTTGGTGTCACGCACCTCATACTTTAACTCATTGGAGTCTCACCCAGCCCTAGGAGGTAGATCATTAACTTCATCTTACAGATCAGGAAATGAGAACCTGTCCTAGCTCACCAGGGACTAGTAGTGACAGAACCCGCGTCGGAACCTCTCCTCTTCTGCTGTGGAGGCCTTGCTCTAGTGTTCGAACCCTTGCCACATTCATTAAACCAACATTCATACCTGTGGGAGCCTCTGAACCCGAGACCACAGAGCCTGAAGACAGAGAATGTGTTGTTCAGCACAGTGTCACTCTAGTGCTCCGAGCAGTGCCTGGCACAATGAATTTTCGTCTGTGAAAAGAGTGCGTGGACTGTGCTTCTCACCTTCTAATCCCTCCCCCTCTTAGCCTCCAAAAGTGTTCCTATGGGGCATGTTTTGAGTGTCCTGGACTTGGTCTTGGGAGAGAGCGATGCCTGTTAACTTTGATGTGGTTTATGGGTCAGTGGCTCATTTGCTGGCCAGTAAAAAATAACGAAGAGCTTTTCTTTATTGGTCTAAGTTAGTCACTAACAAGGAAAGATGAGAACGCGAACAAATGTGGTGGTCCCTCCTTACCTGTGGTTTTACTTTTCATGTTACCCACAGTTAATCTCAGTCTGAAATAGTTGAGTACATTATGGTACAATCATTTAACCTGAGAGAAAGAAGGAGAGACCACATTCACATAACTTCTATTACAGTATATCCTTATAGTGATTCTGTTTCACTCTTTGCTACCATTGTTGATCTTCCTGTGCCTAATTTATAAATTCAACTTTATCACAGGTATGTCTGGATAAAAAGCATAGTATGTATTATCTTTCACAGTTAAGGGGGGACGAGTGTTCTTAAAAATTTCCTCTAACTTCAGTGTGTCTTGAAATCATGGCAAGAAAGACCCCTCGTGGTCATGAAAGCTTTCATTCTCGAACCATATCTGACTCTTAGGCTACAATAATGAGCAGGTGAAACACTGACAGTCTTCCTGAATGTGCCCAAGAGTTGGTAATTACACCTTACATTTCTGTGCTTAGTTCACAAAGCACTGTATCAGTTTTCTCTTTTGATCGTCTGCTGTACAGCTCAGCGCACGAGGATGGGTATGATTAGCCCACCTTATAGATGAGGAAACTGATGCCGAACGTTTAAGTCATCTGCTCGACCCCACTCCGTAAATGGTACAGATATGTATTCAATAGTCTTATCTCAATCCCTAGTCCAGCAAAATATCCACATCAATTCTGCATTTAACCCAGTAATTTATGGGGAGGAGACCAACAGTAGATATTTCTTTGGTTACTTTTCTTCCAATTTAGTTAGGTGCTGGATTGGGATAGTTCATCTTTCTGGATATCAGTTTACAATCTGTGAAATGTGGAATAAACACCACCTGTCAGTGCATGCCCATGGAGCACACGGAGCAGAGGAGGTTGGACATGTGCAGAACTTAAACAACAATTTCTTTGTTCTTTAATTGCCAGAGGGTGTATGTGCTTGCCAGAGAGAAATGGAGAAAGAGAGAAAGAGAACAGGGACTGGGCGGGGGGTGGGGAGAGAGAAAGAGAGAGAGAGATCGCCTTCTAGTGGGGTTTGGTTACACAGTAATCTCTTCTCCATTTCTCCTTTCTGTCATTTAGGAATGTATTCACATGCTCCTGGAATGTTTTCCAAGCTGCTAGGGCCAGGATTCAAGTCACATTTGGCCAAAAGAGATCCAGCTTCCTTAACCACTAGGCTATAGAGCTATTTATTATATTTATATTTACTCCTGTTTATTGTATGTTTATTTATTGCTTGTCCGAATCCTCCCTCCAGAATGTAACAATCACAAGAGCAGGGACCTGGTCTGTTTTCTATACTCTGAAACTCTGTCTGGTAGAACAGTGCCTGGGATAAATAAACATTTGTTACATAAATGATTTAAGGAATGCATACATGGATCAGAACTGTGTAACGATTCAAAGCAGGCTTGAACTGAGTGACTGTAAGGTTGGCTTGAATCTCCCTCACTCTTCAGCAGAGAGTCTGATGGTTTGGTTTCCTTGCATCCATCTCCTGGCTCAGCCACTTTGTGGTTCATAAGGAATCACTTGAGTCCTGGTGCACAGCAGCTTACACCTGGGTGAAATGGGGTCACTCACCTGTGTGCGTGCAGCAGCCATGAGCCACTGAGTCGCACTGTATGTCTGTGTACCGCAACCGCCTATGAGCCGCCCGAGGACTGGGGTTTGGTCCTGTACACTATTGTATGTCCAGCACTTACCTAGCCCCATCCATAGAGAGGTAAAATAAAGGTTTGTTGCATGCATGAATGAATGAATATGGAAGAAGAAACAAAGCACAGGACTCTTAATCCTCCTCCAAAATCGAGGTTACCCTTTGAAAATAAGCAGGGCACATGGCACAGACATTTCCTGTTCAGCTTGAACCAAATCTCTGCAAAGACAAGGAAGCGCAAAGCAGTCGTTTCCTGCCCTGAGGAAAGGCAAGGCAGACCTAGGCTCCAGATCCTGTTCCATGCCACGTTTTGGAATTTGTGTTTACGTCTGCCTTCATCCCCATCCTTTCCGCTCCAGCATAAGCAAAATTATAACCCCGCACACCGACTTGCATGCAATGATCATCACCCGGGTGCTCCTCCGTTGAGAGACTTCGCCCCAGAGACCATTGGCTGTCTGTGAATGACAAATCAAAAGTCGCGGTTGCAGAATCAGCCAGACTTACCTGCTCATTTGCAGCAGAGGGAGGAAGCAGAGAATGAAAGATTCTGAAAATAAAGGTAAGGGGGCTGCCTGCAGAGGGGAGGCTAAAAGATGCTGGAGATGAGATGTCACTTCACAGACCCGGTTCGTTTGTGTGAATGGCTGAGTTGAAATGACCGTGCAGATATTATTTTAACATTCTGATTATATAATAAGTATGATGACTTTTTAAAAAGACTGGCCTCTGTTTTCCAAATGTTGTCATTCAGTTTTCCATTTTTATAGTACTAAATATAACTATTTTTTGCATTCTTCATTGAATCTTGGCTGAATAACATATCTGCACTTCAGGAGTTCCTTAGAATACCTCTCAAAATTTTGATCATTTTATTTGGGGGGGGGTTGTTCAAAATAGTTAATAATTAATCTGTGTGTTGTCAGTGGGTTATTGGGATGGGGATATTTGAAATATCTGGAACTTTAACAGTTTGGGTTTGCAAGATGAACGTGGATGGAGAATCCCTTAGGACATGCATCGTTTCAGGGAGGCCCAGTGGTTGAGCCACCGCTGACCTTCAGGACTGTTTATCTTGCAGGAAAAATACTCGGATAGATGCCGCCTCCCCCCATTAAGCGGGCCTCCACCCACCACATCCCTGATTCCCACCCCCACCCCCCAGCCACCCAACGACGAACCACTCATTCTGTCCGAGAGATGGGGGAAGAGAAAAACGGCTTAAATGACAGCTCAGGAAAGGGCTTCCTGAAATGGAGCCAGCCAAATTTTAAGTTGCACCGCAGCGATTCTCGAGGATTCTGGGGTTTTAAATTCCCAGTCTCCTTAAATTTTCTGCCGCAGTTTGGGGAGGAGCGCTAGACCCCTAGGTCTCCGGAGGCTACACGTGTTCCCGGATCCCAATTCCCAGAAGGAGCCTTTCCTTCCTAATGCGTTGGTCGTGATCTGGGACTCAGCGCCTCAGGGAAAGCTCTCCGGTGGCCGCGCGGCCGGAGGACGCCACCTCCTGCCCCTGCTTCCGGAGCGCTAATTTTAGGGTTTGCCAGCCCGCCCTGCCTTTTCTTTCCACGAGATTTCATTTCTGTGTGCCCGCCTGGGAGCTGCTGCGCGGTAGTTTGCACCCCACTCTGTCCCCGCGCGAGCTGGGGTTTAAGGAGGCCACAGCGCTTTGCCCTTGGGCTGGCGACTTGGGTACCCGCTCGGGTGGAGGCCGGCCCGCAGCGCCCCTGGCAGGCTGCACGCTGCTGCTTCGCGGCCCGCCGGGCACCGGAGTTAAGTTGTTTGGGTGTTCGGTGCAGCGACCTGGAGCCCGAGCCTTCAGTGCGATCTCCCGGAAGCTGCCGTCCTCTTTTGCTAGTTTCACCGTTTCCATCTTGTGATGGACAATGTTATCTGTCTGCCCCCGTTTAAAAAAGAAAAATCTCGGACACAACCCGATGCCAGTGGGGAGACCGGGATTTGAGTCAGGGAACTGTTTGTAATAAAGGGGCTTAACAATCCCAGTGTCTATAGTAGAGGCGGTGAAAGGGGCTGGGGTGTCTGGGGTTGGTGGTGTTAACATCTCACAGACTCTGGATGGTTCACACCCACGTATTGATCTCTGTGGTTTCGATGTTTAAATTTTCATTAAGTAGCCTTAATGGGGAAGAAAAGAGCTACACGTAGGCCTGGTAAGAGGGAAGAAGATCTATTCTTTTTTTTTTTTTTTTCCCCTAAGTCAGCCTCTTAGGGACAAATCATACCTGTGTGTGTGAAATCCAAGTATTACTTGAAATTGACTTTTCTTAGGTTGTTGTCAGTGATTGGAGAAAGGATTTCTGGAAAGAAAAAAAAAATGTTTATTTGCCAAGTCATGCTAGGCCATGGACATGATTTAGAAAAAGTTAAAGCTGCTGAATTGGAGGTTTAGACTGAGGTTAATATTCACCATTGTTTGGAATGGGAGCACTCCCATTTCTCAATGTATCAGCATGTTTTAAGCTTCAAATCCCCAGCCTCTTTGGAAAAGAGTCCCCATCCACAGTTTTCCCTTCACTTTGTGTTGGAAAGAGCCATGGTTTGAGAGGCTGGATAGTTAGGTTGTGGCTTGTTCAGTAAAAAGTAACTCATTAGTGTCCTCAGGACAAGACCCTTTCTTTGGCTCTTAGTCTTTATTTCTAAAATGGAGAGATGTTAGACTAGATGATTGTTTTTCTGATTATAGGTGGTTAAACAATAGTAATGAGTCTTAAGCAACATGTTAAATAGAAATTTCCTGAAACTTCTGTTTTAGGTATTTATGTTTACGTATGTAGGTATGGGCTGTATTCTGAGGTCACATCTATTTTTTACTGAGAGTTCTAGTGAAAAAAGTTTGAGGAATACTGAAATTTATCATAGATTATTAATTTGGTTTTCAAGGAATCTGAAATGCAGTTTTATGTTATCTGTGTATACTTATATAAATCTGTACACACATATACACCTGAGGGGTCTCCAAAAAGTTTACAGAAAATGCTTATGAAAAATTATGTGTGGATTTCAAACATTTTTGTACCAAAATAAACTTGTACTCTAATTCCATTTTCCATGAGCTTTGTAAATTTTGTGTGTGTGTGTGTGAATAGAGAGAGAAAGAGGAGAAAGTCAGTAGTTTTCCTCGGATTTTCAAAGGGGGTCTAAGACCACAGACAGGTTATAAGTTGTATTTCTAAGGTTGTCCTAAGCTTTTTAAAAGCCAGTTACTTTGATGGACCAGCAGATGGCGTAATGGTTACATTGCTGGATTTCCATGTAGTTGACTGCGGTTCTAGTCCTGGACCTGGCAGCTTAAATTCATTTAGGGCATGTGTGTGTGTGTGTGTGTGTGTGTGTGTGTGTGTGTGCCCTTGTGGGGAGGGCAAGAAGAGAATGGAAGAGAAGGGACTGTGGCATGGCCATCCCCTTGGGGGGTGATTTCTTTCTTTCTTTCTGTCTGTCTCTGCCTTTCTGGCGAGTGCATGCCCCCCCCCCCCCCGCCCCCTAAAAAAGAGCCAATTACTTTGAGATAAAAAGGCTCTTTAAGGACTGGGATATGTGTTGACAAAGACCAACTGAGAGTGTGATGTTAGGTGATGAGTGTGTGTGTGTGTGTGTGTGTGTGTGAGAGAGAGAGAGAGAGAGAGAGAGAGAGAAAGGCTTGAGGAGAAGGTGTGACCATAGTAACCAGATCATGAGAGCTATTTGTGGGTACCAAAGTACCAGTTGGTGGCCTATGAAACATAAAAACACTAAATATTCGTCTTTATGCTGAAAAGGAGCCCCGAAGAACTATTAAGATGGGATAAATTGTTCAGAAGTCAATTTTCTCTGTAAAGACTAAAAAAGAGAGCCAGGTAACACAAAAAGAGGTTGTTTGGAAAATACATGATCAAGATATGGGTGAGTCGTAAGTGATTTTTTTAATAAGCTACCATCATGAGGCTGGCATTCCATATATGTTTAATTGTGGATTAATAACTACTTTTCTTTTTTCCCTGTCTCTAGTATGTCTTCTTTTAAGATAGTCTAGTGAGGTTTTAAATATAAAACTAGGTATAACATTTACCCGGCAGATCTAAAAAAATGTTTTGCTCACCAGGGAAGAAAAATTATTTATGTGGCAACTCAAAAGAAAATAGTTGAATGAGTTAATAAGCAGACATTGGTAAACATGACTGCTAATTATACTAATAACAACCATAGCTCCTATTTAATGAACAACTAGTATGTGAAAAGCTCTCCATGAGGTGCTTTATGTATTGTCACAACATTGCAGGGTAGGTGGTATTTTACATGTAAAGAAATGAATTAAGAGTTGTGTACAGGGAGAGAGCTAGTAAGTGGCAGAGCCCAGACTCAAATTCATTTTACCTTCAAAACATTTCACATGGGGGCCAGTAGGTGGCGTGGTGGTTGAGGCGTTGGTCTCCCACACCGTCAACCCAGGCTGAGTCCCTGACATGGCAGCTTGTTTTCTCACTCTCTCTTTCTCTCTGGTGAGCGCATGTGCCCCATGTCAACTTAAAAAATAACAATCAAATTAAATAAGATTCTAGAAAATACCTTTTGCATGTAAGCAAGGGCTTAAAAACAAATAGCAAGGTAAAATTACAGTTTCTAATAAAATTGTCAATATCATTTATGATTTGAGTTTATTAAAGGGAAATGTGAACCTTAAGAAATGAGTTTGGGGGGGGGCCCGCAGATGGCATAGTGGTTATGTCACTGGACCCCCACATGGCTCTATGATTAGAGTCCCTGACCTGGGGGCTTGAAACTCACATGGGGCATATCTATCTGTGCACCAAAGATTCGGGGAGGAGAATGGAGGAGAAGGGATCAAGAAGTGGCCATCCTCCCTGGGGGGTGATTTCTCACTTTCCCTCTCACTGTGCTTGTCTCTCTAGTGAGTGCACACACTCTAAGGCAAAAACCTCTTTAAAAAAAATAAAGAGAGAAATGATGACTTTTGACTAATTTCTTAGGTTGTGTTTATTTGGAAAACATGTTACAACTCTAAGTTTAGTTCCAAATTTCCCTCTTAGTAAGTTCTCGGAATATTTTATGCAACGAGGTCTTAGAAGTGGAGAATAAGAGTGAAGAATTTAAAAACTGGGGTAGATATTTTGTATATAAGAGGCGAGAGAATAGCTTTCCTCTTTCAAGTGTTTCTGTTATTTTTCTAGATTTTATTTCAAAGTAACAAAGCATGACATTTTGTGAGCAAAGTTATGCATAATATTTTATGTGGTAGAACTAGGATTTGAGCATTGCCAGTGTTGGAGCCAAGTGGGTTTCAGGCCTAGTATGTGGTAAAGCTGGGAGTAGAGTCTTGTCTATCCATTGATTCTCAGTGGGCGTGGTACTGCCTCCTGGAGGACACACCAGACATTTGCAAGTGTGGTTTTTTATTGTCACAGGATTGCTGGGCTCTAGTAGTATTTGTGGGCAGAAACCAGAAATGCTCCATGTCCTGCTGCGTTCTGGACTGTTCTTTCAATAACTATTAGCCTGTGCTAATTTTGAATTGTCCTGCGCAGCTTCAAATGTTTGTCTGAAGAC